TGAACACATTTAGGATGCAGTAAATTTATTAGTTCGTGAGTGTATTTTGCAGAATCATTCGTAAGCTTTCAAGTGGACATAACTAGACTAACTACTCAAGCGAACTAAGACTTTGCGGAATTATTTTACAGCTGGAATGTGATGAATAGGTTAGCAAGGTGTTAAAAGTCTGTCTAACCTTTCTTTAAGAGATAATAGTTTAGAGAATAATTTTTCACTAAAAATTAAAAATATTTCTAATGGAAAGAATCATTTAAGTAATGCCTCTTAGTGTAGTTACATAAGTGTTTAATCTGAAATACTATGGGTGGAAATATTTAACATTTCTTTTCCTGTGTTTACAAATCATTGCACTGGATTAGATTATTTGGATTATGGCAAAGCATGTGAGGGTTATCTTTATAAAGGAAGGTATGCCTATGTGGAGAACGTTTTAAAGGGAACAGGCTGATACGTATTTTCAAGTAAAACGGGGAGCAAATCAAGAAAGCATCCGTACAGCTAGTCCATTCGAAGAGGAATATGAATCTCCAATCGAGCTACAGATGTTCAACGCTTGTGCTGCTTTGCCCCCTCCCCGACAGATACAAATCATTGTATATTGCAACAACGAATATATATTTGCAACTTCTAAAATCTGAAAATGCATTGTGTGATGTTATCGTTATGCTATGTTTCGAAATGCTATTTATTTTCACTATCTGACTACGATGCTTCGTACGATAAAGTTTTAAAACTGCAAAGCTTTTTTTCTGCTTTATTTCCTGTTAGTTACGAAGCAGGATTTTGCGTTGAATTACTGTAATGTGCTGAATCATTTTTTTTTTTTTTCAAATTGTTCCCACAAAATATTATTATCCTATATTATATTAAAAGAAATTAAATAAAAGAGAATGTGCATGAATGTAGGTATGTTTCTCGCATTGTGAAAAAACAACGATACCTAGAGCTATCAAATTCTGAATAACGTAATCCTCCACACTGGAAGGTACCTGGGTGGTACCAACCATGGATACCTAAAAGTCCGATTTTTTGAATTTCGAATTTGTTTCATTATCTGTTTCACATTTTATAAAATATTAACGAGTTTTTCATAAACAAACTCCAAACACTTTTATCTTCAGCGTGCGAGACAGTCGCAAATTCTAAAGATATGCTGTTTTTAAATATTTTGTGATATTGTCGTTGAATTGAATTTTATGTGGTTTAAGTGCGAAGAACATGATATTTAATAAAAATGGTAACACATAAAACGTTAAAAAAGGCCTCTCTGAGCGTAATATAAATTCGGAAAGCTTTGGGACATTTTTTTTTTTTTTTTTTTTTTTTTTTTGTGTGTGTGTGTGCGTGTGGACTTTTTTTTTTTTTAATATTTATTCCCCCCCCCAATATTTTAGAATTAAGATGTTTTCTTCTCACTTTTTTCCTGCAACAGCATTTATTAGATTATACTCTCCCCTCGCGTTCTTTTCTTCGCGATGTTTTCAGCAGACGATACTTAATGCTAAACATAATTCCTAAATACACTTTGAGCTATACTCACACGTAGGCATAAAATTTATAATGTTGTCTGCGTAAATAATACAAACATTAAGAGTATAATATATAAGCACGCTGAGTAAATATATAAACAATTATTCTTAAAGGTGTGATTATGAAACCTAAGCTGCTACATCTGTTAAAAGACAATAAGTTTGAAATGAATTATGCAATGCTAATTCAATATCAAAGCAAAATGAATAAAAGTAATACATAAATTAATAGTTTAATTACATTTAATATTAAACAGTTAGTTTTCAGGCTCCAGAGATTCCACGGAAATTTCGTTTCTTTTCCTATTTAGGAATATATAGTCAATACCTAGCCTGAGCTTTAGTCAGTTTCAAGCAAAGACGAAAACAAATTTTAAAAAAAATTGGTCACGTTGGAAATCAGCAGTCTATTATTTTGACGCAACGAATATCTACACAGCTTCTTTAATGATCACAATGCGTCTATCCACTAACTGGCAGATTTGTTCAATATTTTCAATGAGAAAAATAGCTTTTTTATACCTTACAGTTTTCGGATTTTTTGAATTTTAACTGGCCATCGCGATTTTCGGACTGTCAGCAGCGTATAATTTTCTCCCGTGCTACTTAAAAGAAAACACGTATGCAAATAATTCACCAATCAGCTTAAAGCCTATATTCAAAATGCAATTCAAGAATTGGAACCAGCAATTTTAATAATAATTAATGAGGATTTCCGGAATAAAATCTGCCAAGTCGAGGCTAATAAAGACCGCCCATTCGTCAAATATTTTTAGAACGTTATATAAGTTTACTGCCATAAATTCTTTTTAATGTTAAGAATAGTGAAAATTAGCATTCAAAGAGAAAATGTTATTCATTGTTTAAACTATAACGTCTTGTCCAATTGTCAGATAAATTTAGTTTAAATGTTTTAAACGTTAATAAGATAAAAAAGTTATCTTTTTTTTTAACAGACCTTTGGTAAATATAAAATAAACCTTTTTAAAATTTATTTTTGAACGCAGTTATGAATATCAGATATAATAGCTGCCAAAACACGTTAATGACAACAAGAATTATATTTTGCGTTATATATTGGTTACAAAATACTTTAACCTTGAGTATTATTTTAATCACAGAATTTTGTGTTTATGAAGATCTGATGATAACTCACTAAATTTAAATTATTAATATATTTTTCTAAGAATTATCGATTAGGATTAGAAAACACATATGGAATAAAACATTTTAAAAAAATCTGAAAGATATCAGATTTTAAATTACGTCCAAAGGGGCGTTTTTTAACGTTTTGCGTATTACCTTTATATATATATATATAATACCATGCTTTAGGTACTCATAAAATTCAGCTCAACAACATTATCGCAAAATAACCTTAAAATGAGCATATCTTTAGAATTTCCGATACACAGTCTCGCTCGCTGGAGATAAAAAAAACGTTTTTTCCCCCCATATTGCCATTGCTCACTTTGAAATCGTTGAGTTTGTTAATCAAGTATTCGTTAAAGTGTTACAAATTATGAAATCGATAATAAAGCAAATTCGAAATTCCAAATTAGGGCTTCCTTCCACATGCCCATATTATATGGAAGATTACGTTATTCACATTTTGATGGCTCTGGGTACCGTTATTTTATCACAATGCGAAAAACATACCTACATCCATGAAGATTCTTCATTATTTAATTTCTTTAAATATAATACAGGGCGATAATATTTGGTGGCAACAATTTGAAAAGTGATTCGCCGTTTATAGTTTTCAACGCAAAACGCCAAAACGAAATTAATAGTCCTTCAAGGCAAATTGCCCCTTTGGACTAACAAAACAAACTCCTTATTTCTTTCATAAAATTATTGAAATTCCATCTTAACAAAATTACATTCCTTTTAACACAAGCGGTTACTTTATAGAGTTTGAACACTTTAAATATTTGATTCAATTATTTATCTGACTTCAGAAAATGCTTTCCCGTACAGTATTATGAATAGCACAGGGAATTAATTATTTAAAAATGAAGCATACACTTTGCTTTTTTGATAATATTGTTAAAATTCTTTTTAATGAGATTTAGAACCTTATTGCAAAATTGGAACCTCGGAACGAATACAGAGGTTCTTCCATTCTTACCTTTTTCTAGGTGCTAGATGCTATAATTTTTCTAGGTGCTATAATTGGCATTACTAGCGTTTCTAGGCCTTTCTAGGCATAATTGGCATTTCTAGGTGCTAGATGCCAGTAATGTCATAAATCATACTTCATTTAAAGGCATAATTGGCATTTCTAGGTGCTAGATGCCAGTAATGTCATAAATCATACTTCATTTAAAGTACTTCCTTAACTAACCTTATTATTTAATGCTTTTCATTGAAAACTATTTAAACAAAAATTACTTTTCACTTTTTTCTATGCTTTGTTTTCATGGTTTTAATTGAATGTATGCTGGGTAACATGTAAGCATAACAATTTAAACCAGGATTTTTCAAATTTCATTGAAAACTATTTAAACAAAAATTACTTTTCACTTTTTTCTATGCTTTGTTTTCATGGTTTTAATTGAATGTATGCTGGGTAACATGTAAGCATAACAATTTTAAACCAGGATTTTTTTCCTTAAAAAAGCTGAAAAATTTGTCAAAGGCCTGAAAAATTCCTATTGATTTTAATATAAACCTCAATTAATACATAGTATACAATTAATACATAATGTATAGTGTCTGTGAGGCATAGTGGCACTCTAAATATGAGAAGAGCTGAAAGTGTGGTTTGGTGAAAGAGGAGAGGGGTGAGAGATCCCGAAACGCCCCTGGGGTGGAATATAGAAGTTCAATCTCTCTTTGGAGTAGGCTCTGGCAACTATTTCTCCATGCAATATGGACACGACAACAACAAATAATATATAAAGATATCACCAAAATAATACAATTAAATTATTTATCACTTCAATAATCAGGTACTAAAAAAATAAACAATTAAAAAATTTCGTTTCGTACAAACGTGGAAGAAATCTTTTCCACATTTGTAGGAAATGAAATTTTCTTCTGAAGTGTCCAGCTTCTAAATTTGTGTATTTAGTTGCACATTACAAATTTAAATCAGATAATTTTTAATTGTAAAATTGAATTCTATATTTTTAACGCATTTAAACCTAGAATAGGAAGAATATATAAAACTATAATATTTTAAACACTATAGGAAGATCTGCAGCCCTCTTCAAAATGGAGGTCTAGGACATGTGCCCTGTTTTTACCCTGTGGAAATGATGATGAAGTGAAACTGACGGTATATATTTAGTTTTAATATGAATTGTTCCTTCAAAATTTGCTAACAATTTTATATATTTAAAATGCGCATTCTGACTCTTTTTGAAAAGAGACAGATGCATAGCTACTTATCAGGAACGTATAAAGTTCACCAACTTCGACTCGAATCGCAATAAATTTATTAAGAAAATTGTTAAGACTTACCAATAATACATGCCAATACAGGTAAAGCAATTCCAAGCATCACAATCACTTTTGTTTTTCGCTTGGCGGCGGGGGTCCTTTCCGCCTCTTCGGTGCTGAAGGTCGCCGATGGGGGTCCCCTGCCCCTCTTGTGGGACCCGTAAACCAGCATATGCCCCGATGCCGCCGAGTCGGACAGCATGGACGGTGGGCCCGGTGGTCTCGAACCCCTCATTTTTTAATGGAAGGTAAATAAAAAGCAACCGGTACACAGTTTATAATCCTATGGCTGTCTGAACAGTTAGTGGACGACCATTGTCATGTTTCACTTTATAGAGTCGACAATGATCCTTCATTAGTTTCATTATCGAACAATTACCGCAGGGGAACATAAATAAACGCTGAAGGAAAACGATTCTTCATTCTGTACAAAGAGCGGGAGCCACAGCGTGGTTAACTCTTTCGTTGTTACTGTCTAAATGCCGTACTTCAGGAACGGGTTGCGAATTTTTTTCAGGTTCTTCCATTTTGTTACTTTTTTTATGCCCAGCGGCGGTGTGCGTGTGATGCTACGCTGGTTAAGTAGACAAATGACACATCTTAGAATGAGTTTTTTATCTGCCGTAAGAAGAGATGCATTTGGAAAATTTTATTATTCTTTTTTGTTGTTTTTAATGTAAATCGTTGCGTTTCACTGCACACGGAGGGCGAATCGGTCTGGATGGGCGTGCGTAGAGGTTTGCTTTCCATTTTACACTGCTTATCGCTGTTTCTTATGAACAGTTAAAGTGAAATTTTTGGAGTTTCTCACAAGACTTTTAATATCCCTTGCCTATCATTTATATGCTATTGTAAAGAGTCTGTTTTACAATGCTCTCTCACAAAATGTTTTATTTTTGAATGTTAAATTCAACGAATGTTTCATGGAGGCTTGAGGTTAATGAAATGATCTTGCGGTCGCATCACATAATCAAACGGCGAATAAAAATAGTAATTTCTTTAAACGCATTTTAGCAAAATATTTTTTGTTTTATATTTTTGAAGGAATATTATTGTTATTTCAAAATTAACTGATGTGCTCTTAGATTCGAATTATTCTTCAAAATCAAATACATTTATCAACTATACAGAAGCTATATCTAAACACATTGAGTATGTTATAGATTATTTATATGAGTTTGATTAATTAACAATTAAAATATTATTATTAAAGAGATCATCTAAAGTTTTTAGCAAATATCAAGATAACTATCCACCATCTGACGACTACTGAAAAGAAATATTCTAAAACCCGTAAAGTTAAGTAAAATTTTGGATTGTTTGGATAATGGCAAAACACACGAGGACCATCTGCCAAAGAATACAGTCTTCGTGGGATATATTTTAAATCATTTGGATGAAGACCGAAAGATCTTTGATAGATATAAAATGTCTGTAGAATATTCATTTTGTCAACTGCAGACTTTTAAATGCTTTTTGACAATAGATGATTGGAAAGTATGATATCCCAATCGCTATTGGTGTGTAATGGGATTATTTACGAGTTGCTTTTTTTTTCTGTAAGTTTCATGCTTTTTGATCAGAAATTTCAATGACCCCTTATTTGACTGATGTATATCCTACCACACTGGAAAAAATACAGTAGGTATCTTATGAATTCTTATCTGGAAGAGGATCTTTAAAAGCAATTTTATTGGTAAAAGCGCCGAAAAAAGAAAGCATGAAAGTTAGGTCTATTAATAAAATACATGCAGATTTTTAAATAGTCGGAGAACAGAAACTTAAATGTAATTTTACAAGAGAATCTCCAATTAATCTCCTTTTTCTAAACTAGTACTAATTCTTCTGTAGATTAATTGCAAAATTGCAGGTATTTTACAAAGATTAAACTTTCAACATCGTTTTCTCTGCTACTAATAAATTTCTCTGTTCGTTTCTTAAGAATTTTATTTCAGATACTAACTCCTAAGATATCTACAGCATTTTTGTTAGTGTTGTTTAATATACTTTGGTCAAACAAGGAAGCCTTGAAATTTCACTTCAAAGAACATTGAACCAGCGTTTCGAAACCATAAATTCGTAAACCCTTTTTTCCATAGCAGTACTTGCTCAGAAAAACCACCTCCACTACTCTTAAAGTTTTTTTTTTTTATTTTTATTTTTTTTAAAGCGAAATGGATTTCTTAGAGGTTTTTTACGTCTCTATAAATTGTTCTGTTTTAGTTCCTAATTGAGAATAATTAGATTTAATTACTGTTTACCTGGAAAGCAGTTGATTCTTAATTGCTCTAGGTTCTGTTTTTAATCAGTGCTTTTTTTAAATTTTAAGGTTTGTAATATTTGTGAGGAATTATTACATTCTCCTCCGTATCTACTTTTAATAGTTTGCAGGTTTAGTCCGTGGTTCGAATCCAGGAGAAAAACAATTGATTTCTCACTTTCCTGGCTTTAAATTTCTAATTGCTTCTGTATTGGCCCAATAACTAAAATCTCGTTGACGATAATTCGTCACCATCTAGATTTACTCGACTGGATCTCATCCATCTTCCTTACTTCTGGCTATTGGAAGATCCGTGGACATTCGCTCTTACGATGTGAATAGTTACCCATCCAACTGGCTCTTGAAAGGACCATGGATGTGAGACCTTATGGCGTAAGTAGTTGGAATATTAAGATTTTTTCTGGGGATAACTCATCCAGATAATTCTTGAAGATCCTTTAATGCATTCAGTAGGCCCATATTTTTCCTTTGTCTCCCTTTTGCATTCGGAGTTGAGCAAAAGGATTCCGTTTTACTTCCAAACTACATTAGTGAGCTTTTACTTGCTTTCCTCACTCCTGTTGTCCATTTTTGGTTCCTTTTAATATCTAGTTTATTCTAATACTTGTATATTCATTTCTCGGGATTTAATATGTTGATAGTAAAATACTCTCCTACGGAATAAATAAAAAATTCACAAAGAAAGTTAATTACTCCTCTTCTTTGTCTACATTAGTATTTTCGTTTGCAAGGTTTCATTAGTCTGCTCTGGTGAAACCACCTTTAAAATCAACTCTAATACTGTTGAAATAATTAGATTTTTTGAAAAAGAAATGTTCTGTCCTCGTCCGGATTCAAACCGCTAAAATCTTTGACTTGACAATGTAATCAAAACTCTCTTCGCTTTATTTGGACACATCAAGCCGTGATATCAGAGTAAGTGCCTCTCTCGTAATGTTAAAGTGTTTTAGAGGATAATAAAGGAAATATAACCGTTATTCCAAGTAACCAATAATAGTTCGCCTATTAACAAAAGTCAGGTTTTCCTCTGGCGCATAGTAACTTCCCAACGTTAAAGTTATTACTTTAGAAAAGTTCTAGGGCGCATTAAAATCCGTTTACATTAGCGAAAATTTGAGCCGCGAGCGAATTTTACAGTTTCAAGTGCTGAGGATAATTCTTTTAAAGGTTTCATGTGTTAATTAGTTTCATGCGCTTAGGAAACATATGCATCTTGAAGTTTTGAATGGCATCATCGCCTAAGATTTTTATTTGGTTTATGCAATAAAATGCATAGATACTCACTTTTACCTCCAAAAAAATGTGACTGTATATTTTTCCTTTTAGCGAAGCCGTCAATTTCGTACGCAATTCTTGGTCTCAGATACCAATAGTTCTTGGTTTCACTAGTGTGAAGGGCCTTTATTTGTCAGAGAAATTGAAAGGGGTTATGAAAGAATAAAATCAAACAAAGAAAAAAAATCTGAATGTTTTCAGATTTTACATTACGCTCAAAGGGGCGTTTTTTTAACGTTTTGTGTGTTACTTTTATTTATTAAATATCATGTTTTTCGCACCTAAACCATAAAATTCAGTTCAACAGCAATATCACAAAATAATTTTTAAATGAGCATATGAGCAATTTCTGACACACAGTCTCGCGTGATGGAGATAAAAAAAAATTTTTTTTCATATAGTGTTGCCATTGCTCGCTTTGAAATCTTTGAATTGTTAATCAAAAATTCGTTAAAAGTTTTAGAAAATATGAAATGGATAATAAAACAAATCCCAAATTTGGGTCTCCTGATGCCCATATTCGGGTGAAACCGTACGTTATTCAAAACTTGATTATTTAATTTCTTTAAATATCATACAGGCCACCAAATATTAGGGCTCTAATATTTGCAATATTGGGTGGCAACAATTTTAAAAGTGAACGGACATTTATAATGAATCAAAGCAAAATGCCGAAACGAAATTAATAGTCCTTCTGGACTAATAAATTGTCTGTAGGTCAAGAAACAAGCATAGCTTAAGAACAGAGGGATGTATTCAAAAATAGATTAAATCTTGAAATTCCAATTAAAGCTATTTTAGAAGTGGATATTACAGATCAAGAATACTGAACTTTAATACATGCAGAAATTTTTGGAAATGTAAATCCTTTTCAGACGGTGAAGCAGAATTACAGAAAGATTATAAAAACAGAGTGAAAGAAGCAAAAGAAGGTGTTGATACACTCCGCATATTTTTAGATTTTTCTGCAAACACTGATCATAAATTATTAGCATCGGTTACTGTTTTACAGAATGTTATCTAGCTCTGAAAAAAATTAAACAAACTCTTCATATAATCAACGGATTATTTTTGCTAAAATACGAATTTAATTAAGTTTCCATCCCTTCCCTGACAAAAGTCTACATAAAAAACACCACAATCATGAATGTCCAAATCCCAGACCGCATCTACCTGAAGAAAAACCCACAACAGAAGCTCGCTTCCACATTATATGTGTGAGCATTTATCCCATATTTTAAAAGGGTATATTTATTAAGGCCGTAAAATTTGAAATAAGAATTTGTTTTTTATAAACTAAACTGGAAAATTATTTTCTCCTGTGCAACATATATATCCGCGTATGCTTCCATTCAACTGAGCTTTTATTATTGTTGGTTTTTATCCATGTAGGATTTTATTCATGCGTGATCTGATATCATGGGGGTATTTGTTGTGTAAGCGGAGTTTTGTCTGTGAACTTTTCGAATGAGGGTTTTTGTATTTTTTGGGCTTTTATCTGGTCAGAATTTTTACAATTGCTTAACTAAATAATCTTATTTATACTTCGGTAAAGTGTTGCCAGTTTAAAAACATAAAATGGAAGAATTTTGTTAGAATAAATCAGTGTTACTTTTACATGAGGAAACTCAGACAGCGCCAAAAACGAACGAGCTTTTAGCGATATATTGGTGAGAGAGAATTCTACCTATGTTTTTTAATGTAATAACCTTGAAAAGATTTTATACTTGCATGGTACTTATGCTTTATTCTTTTTCAGCCATGTTACGTCCTTTTTTGGAATATATTCCTGCTATTGTTGCTTACCTGTTAAGCAACAATAGGCTTCAAAGCCTTCAAAGCCTGAAGATATTAAAACTTATAAATGAATCTCTTGTAAATTCTTTCTTCAACACTACAATTTAAATGTTTGTGAAGGCTGTTAACTTTGATTTGTGTTCTATTTGAGTGAAGCAAACTCTCTAACTTGTTAAATAAAGATTTCATAGAT